TGTTGCCATAAGTTATTCTCTCTGCGTTTCTGCGCTTGGCTAATGCTAATGCTAATGCGAGGATAATAAAATGGCGGCTTCACAACGCTTTTTGGGAATTTTACGGGGCGTGGTTTGCATTCCGCCCAGCCAATCAGACATAGGAACCTTTTTCTCCCACGAAAGTACCTGCTCTCTAGCAGGGACGGAAAAGGGGGTAAAAAAGGTTATGATGAACTAATTTTAGTTCCTGCTCTTTTTGGTGTGAACGCGACATTTCGGAACTATATCGGAACTAAAGTGGGAAAAGTACCGCGGTGTGAACGCGGCATGGTAATTTGACATTTGGTTGCAATGCCATATTTGTTTTGATCTGTGTTGAAATACTTGTGTTTGGTAGAACACCAGCAGAAACCACCACATATTGTTAATCTTTCACCTTACATTTCAAAAGACCCAACATCGATAATACAATGCTACAATAATTCACTCGTCTTGGAGATGACATTAATTTGCACAATGTAAAGACCCTTACCAGGCTTTGTTTTAGCCGGTTTATCAGAATTTCAGGTCATGCTTAGACCTAGCATATTACATCTAGATATAGTCCTATGATGGATCGTGCATTTGGATTAAACCAACTATTGGCATCTAGCCTTGGATATGGGCTTAATACTCTAGTCAACATTGTTTGACAAGCAAATCAACCATATCTGCACACTGGAAATGTGGTACAGTGATGCTCTAGAGTACAAGAGGATTACAGCACAATATTTTCCTCACTAGCAGCATAACTCCCACGTGCACTTACAGCTCTCCATAAGTCACTAAATATGCATTAAAGTGCAGCATGGGAGGACTGTGGGGCTCACTTTCTGAGTTATCAAAGAGCCCATTTTGGATCTTCCCTCCATGTTTAGTCCCCCACACAGACACCTCTTACATTTCTTCTTTGGGTCTCAATCATTTCCTTTTGGTAAAGATAAATTGTGGTGAGAGCATGTTTCAGGGCCAGATAAGCCGATACCATGCAATGCAGTAAACACAGACAGAACATGAGATAAGACTTCACTACAGTTGAGTTCTATCACCTTCACATCTCTCTGCTAAAGGCTTCTACATCTGTCTTGTATGCATTAAGGTTATGCTGTGAGATTGTTTTTCGTAGTTTTGGTCTATTTCTGGGACACCTCGGACTGACTAAGACTAGATCAGGTTGTAAATTGAAGGGGGAATTTGCTGCACAAGATATTTTTTGAATAAGAGAAAAGTGTTGTCATGTGTGTCACATTCCTGCTGTCTCTGTATATTTAATAGGCCCTCTCAGGCATCTGGATGGGTGTCATAATACCACATCACACACAGACACACACATCGGCAAATATAGTTCTGTGTGCAAGTCAAAACTTTTTCCACTGTAACCTGAGGGGTAAAGCCACCACAGCTCAGGCATAGGGATACATACGCACCAAGGGTTTGACTTCACTTAAAGCTAAACTTCAGCTAAAGCCACGCTTTCACATGTTTATGCAAGTTATTCATCATGATTTTAACCAGCAATTTTGCAAAGAACAGCTTTCAACCTTCACTTTTGATCAAGCACAAAGAAGAACATGTGATATCTGACTTTGCAGATTGTTCAGCAGAGGGAAATCTTACCTGATAGTAGTCTTTAATCTGCCTGATGAGAATAGAAAGGTTCTGGATGCGCAGTGTTGGGTCATTGTTCACCTTCTTGTTGGTCCTCTGCACCGTGGCCGTGGGATTTCTGTGGGAAAATAGCATTTGCTTGTTAGATCTGTTTGTAGTAAAGATGCATGTCAGCTGTGGATGTAGACGGACATATTTTAAAAGTAATGTCGGTCACAGGCTTGTGTGAAACCACTTTGTTTCAGTTTGACACCATGTTGCTTTATGTGATAGAACGATCGTGTGTTTGGCTAAAATCATTAGCAGCAAAGCAACAATGGACCCTTGTCTAAGTAAGGTCAGTGCCATAACCGTGTTAAAGGAAGCAGATACACTCCATGCAGAGCAAAATAGAAACGCCGCCCCTTAACTCTAGTGACACAAATGTTTCTCAAGCGTTTAAATCTAATTCTTCGGTGAGTTGAATCCAATTGAAACATCTTTAAACACATTAACATTTTAGTGCTACAAATGGAGACGAAATTCTTCAAGAAATCCTCTGTAGGCTACTTCAAACTACCGAGTAGGCTTTCATTAGCATGGTTAAGGGAGCATGCATTTCAGTTATTCTCTGACCTTTAACAATGTTCCCGATTTCATATTTCTAAATGAAAGAGAAGAAGTATCTTATTTGAATATAGAGCCTGTGTTTTTATCTGACTGTTTGTTGCTCAAGGGACATTAAAAGGAGCATGCACGACAGCTGATGATATCACGGGTGTCAACATGTTTTAGGGAGCCTTGTAGACATTCCACAAATTCACACAGTACCATCTCCCCAGTCGCTGCCATCTACAACAATCCAAACTACCATTTGCATATCTATGGCAATGACTCAAACTCAAACCTCATTCCATCTCAAACCTCTTTTAAAACACGGGAACACACAAGATAATTGGTTTAGGTAACTGATCCAAGAGATACATTTTCAGGCAATTTGTGTGTCTGTCATTCTGTCTCTTTTATGAGTTATGTGCTAAGTGCGTTAGCACGCTTTCGCTTAGTGCTAATTCAGAGGCTCGGCGTTAGACTTGTGTTTTGTTTCGGTAAAAATAGTTCATATCGTCAGGTAGCTGAGTTTCTTCCTGTTAAGTGGGTATGACACATTCATAGTTTGTTAAATGTTAAGAAGCCCTCAGACGCTGTTTCTTGCAAGATGTTGCCGGAGGGGGCACCAGGCTTAACAGGTTAAAAAGACTTATCCAAAGTGAGACCTGGGGCGTTAATGTGATATCTTCTGATCCCCCTGAGGGGCATTCCTACTTCCCTGAAGAGAGGTGGTGACAAAGCAGCAACCCTAGAGCTGATAATGTTTCACCAAGTAATAAGGAGACACTTTAAATAGTGGACACTTGTTGTCATACTCTGCATGCTTCAAATATCTGTGGCTCTGGGATCCTATCAAATCTGTAGTTCAGCATAATTGACAGTTATACTTTGTCAGATATCAAGTTAAATAACGTGTTTCTATTTGAATAAAAAAAAAATGTGTAGCTGCATTTGACTGTTTAGACATTATATATTTTAGGCACATGGATGTGGAACTGATTTGCACAGTCAATGTCAACATCTGTTTACCTTAAAACAAGCTCAGAGGGATAAGTAGCAAAATCCCATCCACCCTCCCTAAAAACCCTGTAATAACTAATTCATGTTACATTTCCTGTGTGACCGTCTGGAAAAACAACATAACTCATGTTCTTGACATTTCTCGAGCTTCACACCAACATTATAAAATAGCAGCTTTTTTTTTCCTGATATGCTTCAGACTTCAAAGCATGTACATCCTATGACCTATATATGAGGGTCAACATGCTCCAAGTAGGGGGGAGGAGACTTGTGAATGTATGCATGCATGCAGTGTGTAGCACATGTGTAGTCATGCATATGTGTGCATGTCTGCATCTGCGCTCTTGCACTCCAGAATAGCTGGTCTACTCGGGCTAGCAGCTCCATAAAGCTTAATCGTGAAATACCATGAAGAGAGTATATAAATCAGGACTTCCTTTTATCATGCATCTTGTTCTGTTCTGAGTGAGGAGGTCAAAAGGTGAAGGGTTCTTTATCTTCCTCAAAGACATTCGGCTGGGTGGATGCTTGCAGTCACAGGGGACTTCTGGTTGAATGACTCTTCCTAATCACTTCAACATGCTACTGCCCCGTTTCTAGAAATAAGCAAGCATCTTCTGAATCAGTGTTTTATCTATTCATGTTCTCACCAAACATGTATGTATTTGGTGCCTAAGTATCTTAACTCCTAAATAAAACTCTGATATAATATAATAATAATAATGATATCATGCACCCAAAAAGGGGCCTGTCTCTTAAATCAAACGGCTGCAGTGTGGATGTGTTAATTAGTCTGTTGATCAGCCTCCACCCTGATAAACACACCCGCACACACACCATCGTGCTAATCAGGAGGACACAGGGTTCTTTTTAATACTGGTCTAAATGAACAGTCATGTGACCCGCCATCTCCCCCCTCGACACACACTCAGCCCCTTTCGTGGTCCATAGTAGGGGGTCTATTTAACCCGTTAATTAAAAAGCACAGAGGAGGCTGTAATCCTGTCAGGGCGAGGAGGGTGGTGTCGTAAATGCGGAGTGTGTGTGTGTGTGTGTGTGTGTGTGTGTGTGTGTGTGTGTGTGTGTGTGTGAGAAAGAGACTGAAAGACTAAAATCTAAAAGGAAAGGGATGCTCATTCACACATTCCTTCACCATAAGACTAAGCCAAGAACATGGCTGCCACAATAACATGAGCGTGTCGGTTCCACTACACACACCACCGCTCATTTCTCCGACTGATGCCACACAGGCAAGCACGCGACAGTCCGACCCCTCCTGTGGATCAGCAGGCGAATAAATACAGGGATTTAGAGCGCCATCAGGGGTCAAAATCCCCCTTATTGCCTGCCTCCATGTTCCTGCTGATACAGTAAACTTAAGACTTTAAATAGACAAATGGATTAACCATAGACTGAACAGCCAGCAAGCCAGACAGAAAGTGAGCAAGTGAGCCAGACGGACAGTCAATAAGCAGTCACTGCTGTCGATCGCCATGGAGAGCCTAGGGCCACCGGGCTTTCTCCTCTCATCTCCTGGCTTTGATTGGCTGGGTAGGTTAGAGAGTGTTGTTAACCTATATATGACAGGCTACATTACAGTCAGCATGGGCAGCCAGGCACACACACACTCACACAAATGCGCACACACACACAAAAGAACAAAAATGCTGGCAACATTTGGCCACGTGTTGGGGATAGAGCTTATGAGCTGTACTGTCCAAACACAGCGGGGGAGTGTGTGTTTTTGACTGTGTGTGAGGTGAGGTGACACACACACACACAAACAGGAAGCTAAATACCTACAGTAAGAGGAATCTGGGTGGATGAGCTTATTAGCAGCAGTGATAAAGGTCAGCAGTTCAGTTTAGGATAATTATGTCGGTCTGTTCGGTTACATCCACACACACAACAATAAAAAACTTTCTAAGCAAAGATATATTTAACAAAGATTATTTTGTTTGTCAAGTTTCCACATTAGCTGACAAGCCAAAAGAAAGAATTACTGGGACGTGATTTATCATATTGAAAGAATTCACAGGATTGTGGGTTCAAATTGTCAGAATATCTCAACTATGCATGCACATGCATAGTTGCGCATGCACATGCATAGTTGCGCATGCACAACATCCACATGGCAGGAGTAATTCAAGAGAGTAATGGCTCAGTAAATCAAATTAAGAGTAACTCAGAGTACAACCTTATTCTAAGCAAGATAATTTTGTTTGAATGTTTACACACCAGTTTCAATAATTGGAATTCAGCCTTAACCTTGTTACAAACAAACCTTGTTACACTGGAGTCCTTGCTAACACACGCCTTTCCAAATGCAAGCTACAGTAGGCACAAACAGGCCGGCTAACCAGGAATTTTGTTAACTGAATGAATCTCAAATTAGCGGGGGGAAAAAGGACCTCCATAAAGCATATGTTACGATGGCACCATTGATTTACTTCAGAATTAGGGCAATAATGCATAATATATAAGGATACCACATACAAAATATTCTTTTTGTAATACACAGGGTACACAGGGTTCTCCTAGTTAACAAAATATCACTCATTAGCTGTTAGCATGGCAGATATTTTCTTAGTATTTTGCTAATGTACAAGATTTCTACATCCTGTTCTCTGCATCCTCCACCCTTTTCCCATGAGAGCCATAGCATACAAAGAGCCCAGGCAGTGAGGATCTGACCATTGGTATGTGGTTCTCTTCACCCTATGTCCTTGTCTTGGCTTTTCTTGACTTGTTTCTCTCCTGTCTTTGTTTTCTGTTTCCACAGGGCCTCTTCCCATTCCTCTCATCTAGCATTGTATCCATAGCTGCTAAACCCATTCCTGTCAAACTGGATGTGATCTGATGCATTACTTTGCACAAGCTCTGAGTCCATAAATCATTGATGCGATTCAATGTCCCAAATAACAGACAAATTGTGTGTTTCATAATGGCTTACAGAGTACACCAAACAATTCCTTTAGTACAACATTCAGAGTCACTGAATAACTTCCTCTTTTTATAACAGAAATGTTGTACTTGGTCACGGATTAATTTTACAGTGCTGTTAATTCTCAATGTTAAGCTTCTGTTAATGAAACTCAAAACTTCCTGCAGATGCTTTACTGCAAAAGTCTTGGAGGGAACAGAAGGGATTATGCCCTCTGAGCCACTAAAGGACCTGAAACATGAAGCAGATGGAGGAAGTATCGAATTTGCATTTACAGCAAACAGCAGCTAATTGCATTAAATATAAAGCAGGGAAATGGGGAATACTAAATATACACCTGTCTCTAACAAGATCACCGGTCCAATTTCAATATCCATTGCTCGACACATGCTGGAAAATGGTGCAGCGCAGAAATCCCAACTAATCCTGGGGATGTTCCTTTAAATGTCGATCACTAAGTCAGTTTGAGTCTGATTTGCTAGGGCATAGAAACTAAGAGGAAAGCTAACAGAATCTAAAATCCTTAAATGGTCTTTAACGTGTCCTTGGTAGTGGGATTTTGAGTGCCTCACATTAACACAGCCTTGTTAAATGTTTTGTCTTCTCAAGGTCACAGCTGCTGTTTCCTGTCTGACTTGATATACATCCTCATGCGCCTATGAGGCTGGCATGACACAGAGATGATTATGAGAGATGCCAGATTAATGTGTGTTTCTACACTTTGATGAGGAGGAGGGCTGCAGACCCCACAGTCCAGGTAGCAGCAGTAGGAGAAGCGAACAGACTGACAGCCCAGCAGCAGCTCTGCCTGCCTCTTTCCTCTAGTCCAGCAGGAATCCCAACTATGTCTGCTGTAACTCGCCCTAGAGACAGCAACAAAGGCTCCAACATGCGGCTCAAAGAAAACACAGGAGGGAGAGAGAGTAGGAGAGCTGATGCATGGACAGAAAGGGAGACACAAAGATGAGAAGGAAAAAAGACTTGGCAGCCTTGAGTCTTTGAAGGGCAAAAACCAGTAAAAAAAAACGCCCATGATTTTTCTAGAATCAGAGGAAATGTCTTTAAATGTCTTATTTTTGTCCAAACAATAGTCCAACATCAAAAGATATGTTGTGTCCATGACAAAGAAAAGGGGAACATTGTTTCATTTGAAAAGCAAGAACCATAATAAAAGACTGAAAGGATTCATTGTTTTACCTAACAATATGGCAGCACATTCATTTTCGTTGCAGCTCGAGTCCAATCTTTCATAAATGTAATTAACTAGGATAAATCACGTCTTATGTTTGATTACAGATTGGTTGAAAAGACTACATAACAATATGTTAATGAAAGATACTGAATGCCTAAAGGTCTTAAATGTTTTCCCCTCACTTGATGCAAGATTACATTCATTAAAAAAGGAAGAGGGCTGACTCGTACGTTTCTTTAAAATGTGGCCTTTTATAAATGTGCCTGTTATAATAGAAAAGCGTTGCCAGATGGTTCGTTAATACTAAATTAAGAAAGCCATAAAAAGAAAGCCACGAGCCAGTGTACAGTAGCCTCCATGTGTTAGTATAACAATTACCATGATGCATCTGATAGTCTACGACAAAAGACCAACTGGGTCCTGGGCTTAAACCAACACACGTCATTCAGTGTCGTCCCCGAAAAGCCAAACTCTTCTAAAAAGCTCATTGGTCGATTTCAGCGAGTGTTTGTGTATTCTGCATGATGTGTCGAAAAGTCAATTCTGTCATGAAAGGAAGTGATGACAGACAAAGACCTGTGTATGTGAGGCTTCTCGGGGATTAACTGTAAACAGGCCTTGAAAGAAAAATAGACTTTCAAATCCTCATTCATTATTAAAAGATCCATATTCACTGACTCATAGGTTTACTTCATGATAGAAAACCACTGGCAAGCACCCCGTCTGCATGTTATTAGCAGAAAACATGCAAATGAAAATACTGGAAGGGAAAGTTACCTTGACATTCTTGATACTCTCTCATATGTGCAGCCATTCATACAGATTAACAGACATGCACAGATCTGTCTTAGTGCTCAAGCTAACAGAAACATTAACCTCTACAACATGCCTGACAGCATTCTTTTCATTATGCACTTTTTAACTCTTTATACTCTCCATTTCTTTGCTCAAACTAGATAATTTTCAGGGTCACACAACTTTACAGCGCAACAAAGTGCAAGTTATGATCCCCAAAAAATAAAATGACTGGCTATGAAGGTTATGTAAAAATCAAGGACACTTTCAAATCGCCTTTTCTCTGGTAAAAGTGTATCTAACTCTGTCCAAACAGCCCGTGGAGGACAGACTGACTGGTTCACCAAACAGGCCAAAGAGCCAGCATGAGTCTACAGGGTTGGCAGGGAATCAGATAATTGAATCGGACAGTTGTCACTCTGACAAAACTTGAATTGGCTCCCCTCTTACTGGGCGGGAAAACTAATTGGTTTGACAGCACTGAGGAGGCAATCTAATTGGCTAGGTAATGTCAGTCAAAACAGGGCGGGTTGGGAGGGGGGGGGTGCCATCTGGGTGTCGGCAAACGGTTAGATAATCCTGCGGTCTCTCTTCTTCTTCTCTCTCTGTGCTCTCCCATGCTGTTCGGATGACAACTGCTGCCAGCCTGTCTGCCATGTCGGCACTAAAGCCATACAGAAACACTCACACAGCAACACTTTGGCTTATAGTGCCACAGCTGAAAGCAACGGTAAAAATGGTCAAAGCTCATGTTTCTTCAGCCAGAGGTCTGCAAAGTTTGTGAGAAAGTAAGAGAAAAATATTTTGAAGTAAAATCACTCGAATGTGTTTTTTGCACACATAACTGCACGCTGACTTTTATCTCATAAAGACTGTGTGTATCTTTGAAGTGTTATCATTCACTCTGAAGTGTTTTACTTGGCTGCATTTTCTTTAATGAAAGTGTTAACAGTGCTTAACTCTTTCTCCCAAATGTAAACAGAAGCTACTGAACGGAGGTGAATCACAAGCAGTTCAATGCCGAAAAACTCCCTACTAAATATTTTAAAGTTGTCAGATCAGAGGGGCTGAGGAAAACACTACATTTGTTTTTATGTGGGAGCCCAGGAATTCAAATGAATGCATTCCCTGTTAATAATCACATACATTCCCTCAAAGGACTGGAACAACTCACCTGTGGTTTCTAAGCTACTTTTAATGAGTGTCAGAAAAAGATTGAGAGAAAGAGGCATTACTAAACACGCACATTTGAACACATTTTGGATCATGTGGCATGTTTCAACCAGAATTAGTTTGCTATGACGTTTTAAAAATTAATACAAAAGATATAACATAATGTCTTTGATAACTGTCATCATCCAAAGCTGTTTTGATGTGTACAACATACATTTTTGCTCATAATAAAGTATATTGTAGTTCAGTCATTTTACTGGAGACCACCACGTGGTGCTTGTAAAGTGAGAGGCAGACAAAAAGCAGAGTCACCATCATACAGTAACGTCTGACCAACACTGTAGGCCTTTTGTGTGGGAGGGTGGCCAGGCAGGACGACTACCAACAGCTGCCTCAGTCCAAAAGAAAACGCACAGAGGAAAAACACCCCCAGATACACACACACCCACGCAGACACAGTAGCCTACAGAAAAGCACACACGCAAATATAAACACAGAGAGCTAGCTGTGGCAATCACCGACATCCTGTCAGGCGATCACTAAGCCAGTCACAGTTAATTTCACTCAGCGCTGGCTGTTCTGTGCAGCAGAACTCAAAACACAACAGAAAGTCCAGACAGAAATCTTTTTGTGAGTGGTCATGTGGCTCTGCAAACCCAGGTTCAAATGTGGCTCCTTCATGCCAGCCTTTCCTCTCTCAATGCCTGTCTTCTCTGTTAATGTTTTCAACCATTTTGTCAAATCATTTTCTGCCTCACTCATGCTTCCAACCCTTCCCCCTCAAATCCTTCCGGTTGCTTTCCACTATATACGATCCCATAGGGGAAAATGCTCTAAAAATACTGCTGACTTTTTCATCGTTTAGTAGGATGTGTTTGGAATAGAAAAGACGCCCTTGTCCAAATGAACCTGCACTGGCCTCCTTAAACACCTTTCTGTTTAGGAGGATTCCTCTGGGAGTTGAGACACAGCCTGGAGGAGGAGGAGGGAAAAACAAGCATGCTACAGAGAGGAGGAAAAGGTTGTTGAAATCTAACAGCTTAGCGAAGTGATGAAACCAAGCAGTAGGAGAGCGAGGACAGTGGCAGAGGGCAGAGCAGGAGGAAGAGGTCACCAAACAGAGACATTACAGGGGCAGTCAAGGTTAATCAGCTCCTCATGCACTCCTCCAAGCAAGAGCAATTCACGCTGAGGTACACTCTGCACATACAGTATAGAAACACAGAGACACGCTTCCCCTATGAAAAATACTCCCAATCCTAGAAGAGATACTGAAGCGAGATTACACAAGCAGTTGCCTTAAAGAACTGCAACACACTATAATCTCCTCTGAGGTGAGAATCAATTCCACTGGGAACAAGCTTGCTGTAATGCTCCTTTGACAGCAACTAGGAGGAGTAAATGCTGACAGTGTGGAGTGTGGCATTAGCGGAAAATGTGAAAAATTGCCCTGCAAGCGGGAAGTAGCAGCCCTAAGCCAGACAAAGGAATGGAAAGCTGTCATGCTATATGTTAGGAGGAGACTGGAAATACGGACAGATTCAGACAGGCTACTAATGCCTGATCTTCTCTCTCTTCGATCTGCCAAAGCATCCCCCTTCCTTTAACTGGAATAAAAAACAAACAAATGTGAATCTGTGCAGGCCTGCTGCATTATGAAGGATGTGCATTGCTGTGTAATCTGCATCCAGATTCTGCGCTGCATCCAATGTTTGTCTGCTTAAGGCTACTATTTCTATTTAAATCTGCAGCACAGCAGGATATGCGCGCTGTGTAGCATCCAGGGGCGTAGTGTCTTCCAACAGGCTGCAGATGACAGTCTAGGGTGACTGAAAAAACAGAGCTACTGGAAGTTGTGGAGTTGCTTGCTGCCTCCATGAGCCACAGATGAGCAAAAACAAACACAGCTTCCAGGGATACTGACAATAACTGTCTGCACAGATTTCTGACTGTGTAACCCATGTTTGCCCTGAATACAGGGTCCCTTTGTGTGTAGCCTACATTCACTCCAGCAGACAATTTCAAGTGCTGGACACTAGAGGCTGGAGTTTTTGAAGAAATGATTAATGTGGGGATCACCCAAATAAAACCCTAAGGGTGTCAATTGTTGTCTCTGGTCAACACCCAAAGACCCTTTACATTGGGCAAACAAACAACATAATATTAATATTTTTAATGATCAAATATGCCTTTTTTTTTATTGCTGTAGTATCTATTAGCATGGTGGGTTTTAGGGGGCAAAGCAAAGGTCCTCATGTATGCTCTCATTTGGCCAATCATGTTACAGTATGGTGGTGCAGGGGACATACATTAACCAAAATGTTACTGCATATGTGTTAAATTACTTACATCTCAAGCATTATCTCGTTCAGGTAAATCCCATCCACTAATTCGATATATTCCGATAATTGGGTGCCATCGGTCAGTGTCGCCTGGCCGACTGTCTTCACCTGGAAATAAATGAGACAATGCAGATAGGTGTAAAGATAATCAATAGGAATGCCTTCACAGGACAGTGCTAGTCATGAGTGAGCTTAATACACATGTTAATATTTAATTAGCTCACCCAGCAGACCAGAGGCGTGAGCATAAACTGCTCCAGCGAAGGGGTGAAAACCTCGCTTTCCATATTTTCCACAGACACTGGCGCCGCTTAGAAACTGTGCGCTCCTTGGGAGGAATACGTGTTTGTTTTGAATCTACTCATGTAATTGATTCAATTAAATCGAATCTCATTTTGGCTGCTGGAAAACCGGGTCCCTGTGGGGTTTCTTCCTTGGAGATATTCAGGGAGGTAGAAGAGGAAGAAAAAAAAAAAACGTTAATCCACAGTCTTCTCGACACGACCCAGCTGTTTCAGATGTCACCGGCTGGGCTTGGCTACCTCATGTGAAGGAAAATAAATCCCATTTTGTTGTTTCATGAGACCTGAGACAGGTATGGTTTGATGCAGGCTGTGAAAAAATAACCGTTCCTGCCAAAAGGTCTCATTAAGAGGAATCTACCTTGACGGGGAAATATTCATCCGACACGAATCATTAAACGGAATATCCAGTGCGAAAAGAATCCTGAGGTTTAAAGTCCTGCTTTTAGTCCTCTTATTTATGTGAAGTCATTTCTGACCGGTTTCTCGTCTATCCCCTCTGTCTGCCTCCGTTCAAATGCAGCATAGTAATGAACAGAGAGGGAGGATGACTGGAGGGCACTTAGCACCGCCTCCCTCTCCTCTGCATCTCCCTCCGCCTCTTTCGTTCCAAAAGAAAAATAGGGCATTGATCAAATCATCCCTTTATCATTTCCATTAATGCGTTCCTTCAACAAGAAAAAACGGGCAACTAGAAAAGTATTTGAAGAGCTGTGTTGGAAAGAAGAGGGAAATGTTTTTGAGGTATGGTTCAGATATAAATTGGAAGGGAATACGTTTTGGTGCAGCTCTAGTACTTTAATTTATATGCAAAGATATTCTTGATATTTTTCTACTAATTGTATTCCATAGTAGGTTGAAAATACTGAGGGTCCATCCATGCTCACCTTTTGTCTGTATTTACAGCTAACAGGACATTAATGCATCAAGAAAAGTAGACTGCTGACACCTGGTGGTAATGTACAAATATACTGATGTAAATGTACAGTACATTTTTAGTTTGTTTGCTAAAATAAAGAGACACTCTCTAAAAGTATATAATGCAGGATGTAAAGGAAATACTAAATTCATTAAATTCATTTATAGGTTAAAATATTCAGTTGACAATAGGCCTGAAACAATAGGTTGATTAATTGATCAGGAGAAAATTAGTCTGCAACTGTTTCAATAACCTTTTAATCATTTAAGACATTTTAAAACAAAAAAGCCTAAATCTACAAAGTTCCATCTTATCCAGTGGAAATGCTAACTTTGTGTTTTACATATTATTGTTACCCTTATATGTTTTGACAAAACAATAATATTCAAGACATTATTTTAGTCTTTAGGAAATGTTGATTGTTATTTCTCAGCCCTGGTTGTAACGCTAGAAAAAGTGTATGTGTCTGTTTACTATGTAACTATTCCAAGATACTCAAGATATACCATCTAATTAAAAGCATTTGTGACAATTATAACTATTAGAAGTTCAGAAATGGGATCTCACTGTGATATATGCCTCTTTTAACCACACAAAAATATCATAGTCAAATGCAGTATTAAACCAGTCAATTTTTTTTTACTCAGTCGACTATTTCTTTTAGCTGTATCAGCAACAAGGTAGGGACAATAAATAGATAAATCCAGACCCACAGTCATTCACCATGCAGCTATAGGAGACACCTTATCAACATTTGATGAATGGCTCTAGGTGTGAATAGGGAGCAGAGGCCGTGTGACCAAATAGCCAATTAAAACACAATCGCTGATTTGGGAGCTGGGGACCTGGGTCACCTCTCAGGAACAAATAGATTATTGTATTCTTTCGTTAAACTGTTGATAAGCACATTTCAACAGCAGCTCTCCTGAAGAAGCAGCGGTGCTCATTTGCATTTAGAATAACGGTCACTGCCGTTGGTGCTTCAGCTTCCGGCCATATAGTATGTGATCCTAACTGAACCTGTTGTGTCTCTTTTTCTGAAAAACCTGTTTGACTGGAGGGCTGTGAGTGCAATAAATGCTCATCAGGAGGTTACAACATAAAGTGTGGTTGTCAAAATTAAATCTAAACCTTCATCAAGCCAATAAATATCATGCTCTGTTTTTAACAGACACCTGAAATGATCATTTAGATCTAGCATCAAGTAGAAGCTTCAAAGCATCCTATGTCTCAAAAATATAATGTTTGACTGTTTTTGACCTCTTGCAGGTAGGAGGCTGGTTCGGCGTAAGATCTGACATGTTGGTACTGCAACACTGCGGTTTGGACTTACAAAATATATAAACCCTAGATTCACAAGAATCAAACTTTCCATTTGTCAAAAATATTTTTTTTTTTCTTAAACATGACTTGTATTAAGTATTTCTGTATAATTTAGCAAATGTGCAACAATTGAAGTATGAAGTTTGGAAAAGATTCTCCTTAGTTTTATTTATTAAGAGTTTAACATCCAAAAACCCATTTAATCTGCTGCATCGGGCGCACATCTGTCATCACATTTGGATTTAAATGTGGCAACATCTGTAATGGTAGCAATGCTTTAACATGACTAACATTACTTTTATGCACTGAGTCCCACCCACTGGGACCCCCTCACAAAACCAGTTACAACTGCATAGCTGAATTTGGAAAATGCAGATGATCTCTCATGTACAATAACCAAAATGAGTTGTGTTGATGAAGCTTGTTGTATTTATAGCTTGGTCCGAATCAGATGATCATTTCAGGGCTTTAATACTTTCTTCCCTAATTTTTGCCCACTGCTCCCACAACAATAATTGTATTTCCCCCCCAAGAAATCAATGAGGTGCGTCTTATCTTGGTGATATAAAAAGGTCTCTGAATCTACACAAACCTCATTTTTAAACTCAAATGTAACCCTTTCCTGTGGCAAACCAAACTCATCTCTAGTAACCCCCAGACCCTCTGTAGGATACAAAATGATGCAGATAATGAAAACCTTTCATGGCTCACCCACACAGCAGCACTTATGTTCTGCTCAATTACTGAGGAGGATTAGTTGGATATTTTCTATAGCTATCTGTGTTTGTGATCATGTCATTTATTTGCGTAGGTGTGGGATTCATTAACTTTGGTTTGAACGGTGTGCTCCTGCCTGTTTGATTAAAATCTATTATTCACGATGCTTTGAAGAAGATTTGTCACAAAGCGGCATCCACCTCCACATAACGACTCAGTGATTACGGACCCACAGCAACATTCCTCACACACACTCAGCTATAAAGTAGGCAAAACTACCCAGAGGAAGCCCACCGCCCGCCTCGTTTGGCTCAAACTCTGCAATACCAGCAAGGAGGGAAATGGAAATGTTTCCTCGAGTTGGTTTGAATCCAGTCTAAGGGCGAAAAAAAAAATCCAAGATCATAAAACAGCAGTGCCCTGAAAACAGAAGAACATTCGTTATTTCTCTCATCAACCGCATGACCTTGCAGCTTTCTCTCTTTTTTATAAAGTAGTCAAAGTCTGCAGTTTCCTGTTAGTAATTTCAGAGGAATTTACCACAAGTGACCACAAACATTTTGAAATGGGAGCTGTGCTGATCTCATGTGGCCGTGAATGCAGGGATGACTAATGCTGGACAGAATAGTTTGAGTTTTATAATTTCCTCTTTCTTCAATGACTGACTTTTACTTCTGAGTTCCCCTGCCATGTTAATCTGATTAATACTCTTGGTATGATGTCGTTCGGTTGATAAGGCATTTCCTGAGTGAACAGGATGTTTAACATGTTATCATACAATTCTGTTGACAACAACTAGCATTAAATGGTGAAAAATATTACTTTACCAACATTGGGGTTCAAACTGAATTGATGGTAATCCGGTACCAGTATTAATTGTCATGCTGCCCAAATACATGATGATGTCTGGACGTGACCAAAATCATAAGAAATCAAACCAGGTATTATTATGTTTTATATGTAATGGTATTCTGTTCAAATGTTGTAGATATATCTTGCTTTGTACCCAAAGTGTTTAACAGACAGGCCAAAATTACAACGTACTTACTCATACATTCATACATTGTTGAGTGTCCTTTAAATACTGATAATCTAGTGGTAAGGCGTTGACTTTATGAAAAATGTTGAGCACAGGAATGCACCATCAGAAACATGACGATTATTTCACATGTTCATTAAAAAACTGCATAAAAACACACTTTTTAAATAGATTGTCAAACATTACTCCTAAAGCCTTTCTAGTTTGATTAAATAATTGAAAGGTCTGACCTCCATCTTTGCAGCGGAGGTCACCCGGACCATCCTCTCTGTCTTTTTCTCTCCCAGTCCAGTATTGCTGCCATAGGAAATCAATGCCTGACAATCAGATCTCCAGTTCAAATGATTAAGACCCCTTGTGGCAGAGCCAAATCCTAATTGCATAACATCACAGGACAATAAATACATGCATCCTCTGAACCCTGCGAATTCTGATGGATCCCTTCACTTATACATAGAGAGACTTACCTTTGTATATCATGATGGAAAAGTAATTATATTTTCTCCTCTTTTAAACAAAGATGTGCTTTATTAAGATTGTGTGACCCATGGTGAGCCCCAGCAGAGTCTGAGGTTCTCCAGATGAGCCTTAATGCTCTGGATTGAAGGTCTGAGACGGAAAGTAATCAGCGCTTTGCAGTCCAGGCCTTGAGGCTTTGATTTACTCTGCTCCCTGTCTGAGAGGCTTTTTAGATCAACAGCACCGCGGGGAGCCAATATTTAGGAATGCAGGGGTCAACGTTGTAATGAAACAGATTTGAGTTACTAGCTGGTTCTTGAAAATAATCATTTTGAGACAACTAATAAACACTGATTTTGTTTGGGCACGTTTTGTTGACACTTAGGAGATTAATCACTTTTTTCACGTTTTAAAGACTTGAGTCTGATACCTGCACACTGTAACAAATGAACGGATGTCATTCAACATTACACACACTGGTATTTTCAAGACACTCAGTGCTTGTGGAAGTGCCTTCTTTGTATCTGTATTTTCCTATTTTCTCAATGTGCCCTTTTAAATATTGAATCGTACTTTTTGATTACCTTGCATCATCTTGCTGTATATTGTGCATTTATCATTCAAGTCAATGATCCACTCATCAGTGAATCATCAATCATATCCAGACACTGTTTCTGCACAAACACACAATGGGGGTTTTCTAATTTGCCAATCCAATCATTACACTGATCCTGTAAGTTTACACAAGCTATACTGATAGCTAACATGTAATCGAACTGCATGATTTTGTTTGGATAGAGATGTGTATTGGAGACATAATATATGATATACTATAACCAGAAGGCTTCTAGTGGCCTCTAAATACATTTTTTTTTTAATTTACCATGAATGAAAGGAGTTTATGTTAGTTCAAAGTCAGTTGTGGTGGAGGTTCTACTTTGTTCTGAGGCAGTGGAACCTTGACATGGAACCTTGCCATTTTTCATAATATAATTATCACGCTTGTGATAAAGGAAATCATGTGTTGCCAAGTCGCTAAGAGCTGTCAAAATGATGGTTCTACTTGAGCTTGTGCATGTCCATATAAGTAGATCAAATTACTGGCTTTTCAGGGAAACACAGGAGACATGGACAGGTGTCTGTTCACCAAAGAAGAGGATGAATGCACATCATTTGACTCGATTCCACAAGGAAAGTTGCAAAACAAAAAGCTGTAAAATGAGATCACACACAATGTTTGTGATTATGGTTTCCCTTTAGAGACAGTGCTATCTGGTTGTGAAGGGGAAAAAAGGAAGAAAATCAAGCCTCAGTTTTAATCCATGCTGATGTGTGTGTTTTCATGTGTGTGTGATGGATTAGAGCAGCAGTCATGCCGGCTGTCTTGTTGTCACCTGCTGAAACAACACAGCATGACATTTAGAAAAGCACTAAACCTCTTAAGTGGTGAAGCAACCAAGGCAACACAACGACACATACGCTGGGAAAGACTAAAACAGGTTTTCACTTTCTACATTATACAAACATGGCAAAGAAAATGACCACAAGTGATTGACAAAAAATATTTTTACATTTGTATTCCTGTGTAAAATGAGGCTTATTTCATTTTCATTTCTTGGTTGTCAAAATGTGGTCTGCTTAATCATCAAAAACAACCATTCATCAATCATGTCTTTACTCAGCCTGGTCCAAATAATGTCAAAGGTCGCAGAGATGTCTTTAAGATAGATTACATTGAATTGATATATAGATTGACTGTCGACAGACCAATTGATATACTGTATCTATCGATGGACATTTACATGTGAAGATTCTCTGAAAGCAAACCTTCTCTTTGATAGAAAGCAAAACAGCATCCTGATTCTGATCCTTGCAGGCTACAACAAAACATTGACTGGTCCATTACACACTAATAGTCCACGGCTCTGCTTGGTAATAACGAGATCTCAATGTCTCCCGGAGCCATGGAAACAAGATGGTACTAGCCTTGGTAATAATGGGAATGTGTGCCTGTGTTTTTCAGTGGCTGTGTGAAACCCTGCAATTATGCTGGAGTGTGTGCATGTGTTTGTGCGTGTGGAAGTGTGTGCATGTGTGAAAGTAATCCAGCGAGTGTTAGAGATGCTGTGAACACTCATCTGTTGCCATAACAACTACAGCAGCCCACTGTTAGTGAGTTGGCTCAAAGAATGACTGACCGGAGGACTGGTGAGCTAACTTCTGGACTCACTGTCTAAACAAGTAGCAAGGTCATTGATCGACTGACAGTCAGATTAACTGGCTGTTTGAAGCACAAAGGGTTTAGATAATTAATATTATATTTAACATACAGACATACTGTTTTTACATGCTGTGTTCTACAATTACAAAACTGTGATGTTTGATCAATTTGAATCCAAAAAGTTCATGAAAATAGTTTTTTCAAAAATATACAGTATAGGCTACAGAGATGTATGTATGTTTAAAAGATAGGTTTAGAATATACTTGTTCACAAGAGTTGAAAGATTTGTGTGAGTCATTCCTGACACCTGGTGGTGAGGAAACCAAACAACATATTAGAGGCTTAGCCACTGCTTCTTTCTCTTATGCCAGTTTCCTTCCAGATTAAAGTATATTGTTTCAAAATGACAATTGAGTTACATTGCCTACATCATGTATTCCTATAAATGTATGACAACAGGCTAATTATATAGAGCCTGGTATACAATGAGGTAAAATAAGTGAATAGTGGTTAAGTGGTTATTTGTCATTCTTCTTCTACATTATTTTCCATGTACACTATAATGGCCAGATATTTCAAATATGATCTGTAGAATAAATCAATTAAATTCAACATGCTCTTTGGTAATTGTCAGGAGTGTAACAATAATTTTTTTACCAAAATGTTAAGGTATAATATGATAAAAACAACAAGGGTTCTTTTTATAAATACAAATAAAAAAACAACAAACTGAACTAGCCAGCTGCTAGCATCTAATGTGGTTCCTTTTCCCAACCAAACTATAAAATAAAGACTAACTTTATTACATTACAGCCACAATATTTTTTCGCTGCTAATTTTAAGGTAACAATTGGACCAAAACATGCTAGCTACCGTTGTATTTCAGATTTAACGGAAAGCGGAACTGTTGTGTACTGTCTACCGTACGGTTGACGGTCAAATGTTATGTGACACACTCACCTCAGCTTGTCCAATCAGGAGACGCGTACCCGTGACGTCATTCCGTACATGTGACAAACTAACATGGAAGCCCCCATGCGTACATCTGAACAGTAACGCCATTCACTGACAACCAGATACTTTACTCTGTTTTGTGTTCTCTTCTTCTGTAAAATATGAGGTATTTGCTGAGTTTGGGGCACTCGTTTGCCCGACTTCATGTCCGTTTATGTCACCAAAGTGTTTACAGCAGCAATGCAAATACACGAAGACTGGTAGTGGACCTTGGGGAGAAGTGAGTTGACTTTCCAGGATTTATTTTTCTCCCAATAACTGTTAAAGGAGCAATACATGATGTGTACTTCTAGCTAATTAATTAATTATGTAGCCTCTGTGAAAGTGTATCGGTTGCTTTGCTATCATAACATGTAATCATAAAGCTTTAAACCAGACCCAGAACACCGGGTATGTTTTGGTATCCAGAATAGAGACTTACATTATTCATGTCACCCTACATGTCTGTAAATATGACAGTGGTTTCAGTATCTGATACATGTTGATGTGTTGTGGTCTTGTTGTTTCTGTAGGAAACTTGAGATCTCTTCTGGGAGGTTTGCTAGATTTGCTGATGGATCTGCTGTAGTCAAGGTAAAGACAATAATGTCCACAGTTGGAAGTTTCAACACTCTGCCTCTGATTAATATTCTTCGTATAGTTGCACTTTGTGTTTCTGACATCTTTAATGATACTGTACATACACACCATCCAAATGATGTCCGTCCTATAAAAAATGAGGCCTGCTGTGTGGATCTTCTTAGGTTTCTCATTCCCTTGTATCCCCTCCTTTTGTTTCTCAATCTTATTGAAAAAATAAAGTGTGATGCTTGGTGTGAACTTTCATTTTTTAAGTATATGCTTTTACTAAACTCTTTCTTTTCTTTCTTTTTTAAGCTGGGAGAAACCTCTGTCATGGTGACGGCTGTGAGCAAAACCAAACCATCTCCATCTCAGTTCATGCCTCTTGTGGTACGTTTTCTAACATCACAGTAAAGTGTCAACCTGTCTTTGAATTCAGACGGTGATTGGGTAGATTGTTTCACACTCGCTCAGTCTTGTCTTGTATCATCTTCTCATTTTGGTAAAACTATTATTTAATATATAGAAAGTGTTATCCATTGCACCAGAATTAGAAACTCTAAATTATGATTTATAAGACAGGTGACCTCAGTATAGAATAAGATAATATCTCTCAATGAATGTCCTCTTTGATTGACAGGTGGACTACAGACAGAAAGCAGCTGCTGCAGGTAGAATCCCGACTAACCATTTGAGGCGAGAGCTGGGCATCACGGACAATGAGATCCTCACCAGCAGACTCATAGGTGAGTTGATAAGAATGTGTCTTTTTCTGCCTTTTTCCTATATGTGTGTTTCTGATATTTTACTTAAAACTGAGTGCTTTGACTAACCATATTTCTGTTCCTCAGACAGAGCGATTCGACCGCTGTTCCCTGCTGGTTACTTTTATGATACTCAGGTCAGTTCAGTTGGAAATTGTTTTCATAATTAAGTGGTTTTGTCCTTATTTGCTTTTTGAACTTGGTGATATTGAAAATATTCTTCACTATTAAAATGACCTTTTGTTTATCTATCAAGCACACCATTTTTACTTGAATTCTTGAAGTAAGCTTTTTCTCACATTGCTTTCACTGTGAATAAAGAATTTAAAAAAAATTGAAACGTTTTTTAGTTTTGAACCATGTGAGAGAAAAAAGTGTTTTTCCACAATTTAAGGTAACACAGGGTGATTCATTGATTAACAAATGTTAATTTGTGGCTGAAGTATTCTTCAATGTGTCTCCAACTTTTGTAACTTGTATGTCTCCTGAAGGTTGTTTGCAACCTGCTGGCAGTTGATGGAGTCAATGATCCAGATGTGCTGGCTATTAATGCAGGTGAGTTAAATCTCAGTTTAACCTGTTTTTTCACAGATCATAGTTTCCTATATCATTAGCTAAAACATAATCTTCTTTCATCAAAGCGTCCGCTGCTCTGGCCTTGTCCGACATCCCCTGGAATGGACCCATAGGTGAGCAACTCGCAACAGATTTAAACCTATTTACACATATTCTGATGTATTTACTTTAAATCCTGCTTGTCTGTTCAATTTCTATTTCTCTTGAATTATTGTACACTCAAACTAGTTTGGGTCCTCCTGTGTGTTTGTGTTTTCTCAGGTGCTGTGCGTGTTGGCATGATTGATGGAGAGATGCTGATCAACCCCACACGGAAGGAGATGAATTCCAGCACTCTGAACCTGATTGTGGCTGGAGCTCCCAGCAGTCAAGTGGGTAAGTTATCAAATGCCAAATGACCCATCAGATGTTCATTTACTAAAATAAGTTTTAAAGTGTAGGTGTCAAGGCAAGTAGCCTTACTTTCCTGTTTATATAGCAGCAGTTATTGTGATTGATGGTGTAATAACATTTAAACTTTATTAATTGTTTATTAATATCTCAAATAGGATGTGTATACATTAAGACATATGTGCAAATTATCAATGTGCAATATAAATCTGATATCTTACGTTCTAATAACCAAAACTTTATTAGAGACTATCAGAGAATGTTAGTAATGTATTACCACGCCTTTAAATCAAAGTGTTTTACACCTTGTTGTGTGTATTTGATGTTTGTGATAATACTCATTATCTTGGTTTTATTACATTTTCTAATGATTGAAAGGGACATTTAATTGCAGTTTGACACTTATGACCCAAATGTATTTTCTTCACTCACAATATCATGTAGGATGTGTCTGTGCCAAATGAACATATTTTACATCTTAAACACATGTCCTTTCTATAATGTGCCTCTCTGTCCATCAGTGATGATTGAGGCGTCTGCAGAGAACATTCTGCAGCAGGACTTCTGCCATGCGGTGAAGGTTGGAGTCAAACACACCAACCAGATCGTACTGGCCATCCAGCAGCTGGCGCGAGAACAGAAGGTCATTAAGCGCACGCCGGTGAAGATCTTCTCCGCCCCGGCTGCCATGGTGGAGCGCGTTCGACAGTAAGACTAGTTCACCGTTATTCCAGAGTGAAGTGAAGGAGCACCAGGACTGGATTTAGATATCAATTACAGAACTAAACATGACAACATTCAGGCGTGTCTTCCTGAAATGAACCGTCTGTCGCCTAAACAAACTCAGACATTATTCAGTAATGGGTTTACCTGTAGTTCTTGATGAAGCACTATCTGAGTTTAGTTTTTTTCTAAATAGATTTCTTTTCAAATTGATTCATGTTGTTTTGCCTCCACGCCTGCAATAGCCATGGTCAGAGACATTGTTTTCACTGTAACTTAAAAAATTATTTGCTAATTTTGAAAAGTTCACACAAATGATGACATTTTGGACAGACATTTAAAAACTGGTTTATACAGCCACTTGACTGGTCGGTGGAAAGATACGGGTTAGTTGTAGACGTAACTTAATGTTCTTCCTTTTCTTCCTTGCAGATTAGCCTCCAAAAGGATTTATGCTGTTTTCACTGATTACTCCCACGATAAGGTAAGTCTGACAATGTTGACTTAAAGTTTGTTTGTTAGCCTCTTTTACCATTATAGTGGGTTTCCTGTGAATTAAGGTGTTTTTTAAAGCACCTTCACTCATTGACGTTTCTCTTCTCTTTGATAAGACAATGTTTATGTTTATCAGAAGATTATCTTGCTTTGATTGGTGACACTAATAATCTCTTCATCTTGTTTTAGATTTCAAGAGATGAAGCAATCAACAAAGTTCGACTAGAAACTGAAATGGAGCTTAAAGGTAAATCACTTTCAGTATTTATGTTACATGGAAAACAATTCTAATGAGTCAATATTGCTGCAAACCCCTTCACATAAATACATGTTTATATTTCTTAAATGTAACTTAACGTATTGTCCTATCTGTCAGCTGAATTGTGTCTATTGATGTCTCCTTTTGTGTAGAAAAATTCCCCGAGGCTGATTTCTTCGAAGTTATGGAATCCTTCAACACGGTGTCCAAAGAAGTCTTCCGCAATTTAATACTACATGAGTACAAGAGGTAAGCACTGTCCACAGGTAGAATACTGTTAATTCTCATGACAAATGATTTGCCTTTGTAACTTGAGTTTAAAATATATTTCATATGTTTTAGATGTGATGGGAGAGAGTTGACTGCTTTAAGGGACATCTCTTGCGAAGTGGACCTCTTCAAACCGCTGCATGGCTCAGCGCTGTTCCAGAGAGGACAAACACAGGTAAGAGGGAGTTTGTTCATACGGTACAATAAGATACTTTTTGTTTTACGAAAAAGAACACTAAGTCTGATTATTGATGGGTTTTTGTTATGAAATGTAATGTTATACTGTTTAGCTTTTGTCTTTAAGGAATACAAAGTCTCAGTCCTCGTCCTCTATTTCTTTTTTATAGGTGCTGTGCAGCGTCACGTTTGATTCCCTGGAATCCAGTATCAAAGCAGATATTATCACCACAGCTTTGAGGTAAACATATTACAACGAAACAGCGCATTCATCCTATTATCAGGACATTGCAGATAGTCCTGGCCCTTATTTTAAAGCACATTAAATATCTGTCTATATCTCAGACTGACAGAACACAGGTTTATGTCCAATATGGCAGCCTAAATTACCCACAGTCTAATATAAATCATTATACATATATGAAAAGACCATTTAACCCAATTTCTCTTTGCAGTGGCATCAAATCCAAAAACTTCATGCTTCATTATGAGGTGAGTTAAATCCAGTTTTCATTTTTTAAGACATGTAAATGTTACTGTTTGATTATTTATATGATTATCTATCTTTTAGTTTTTCAAGGTGAACTTAAAATCAACATTACGTTTATTTGCAGTTCCCTCCATATGCAACCAATGAAGTTGGAAGGATGGGAGGAACCAACAGGAGAGAGCTTGGACATGGTTCGTGTTATCATTTCGACTTGTATTCAACATCTGCTAACCGCTCATTATTAGTATTTGTACGTATTTATATTTGTATTATCATGTTTGTGTATTCCCAGGGGCTCTGGCTGAGAAAGCCTTGAGGCCGATTATTCCCAAAGACTTCCCTTTTACTATACGGGTCACAGCTGAGGTGATGGAGTCAAATGGTAAAAACACCACAGGATATTCTATGTTCATAATGTGGCCGGATTCCACAGACAGGGACCATGGATTACAATGTTGGCATTTTATTACTTGCTCTCCATATTTACACCACTTTCTCTTCCTTTCCTCCCAGGATCCTCCTCAATGGCTTCAGCTTGTGGAGGCAGCCTTGCTCTAATGGATGCAGGTACTGCAGCGGGAATACAATAGTTATCTCTGTTATAAAATTGTTCATATTTATTATTTACCTTAAATGCATCAGGTACCCAATAAAGATGAACTTTGACCTAGGATGTAGTTTAGGTTGTATATAATATAACAATATAATACCATATTATAATCAAAGTACTATAGTAACTATGTATTTATCAATGTGCATGTAATAAATGCTATTTATTTCTAATATCAGTATTCGTCCATTGCAGTAATGAAGCTAGTATCTCTTTTAACAGACACAATATTTAAAAAACAATGCATTATTATTTTTGATAGCGTCTTATTTTGTAATTCAAAGCAAATTTAAAGATGGATAGGAAGGATGGTATAGCAAGATTAGGTCTTGCTTAAGTATTTCTATTCACTTTTAAATGTAATTGTGTGTAAAAAAAGAAATTTAAAAAAAAGGAAATGTCTAAATGTGTGTCTCCCAGGTGTGCCCATCTCTTCTGCTGTGGCAGGTGTGGCAGTCGGCCTCATCTCTACGGCCAACCCAGAGAAACCCACTGAGATCCAAGACTACAGATTACTGACGGATATTCTGGTACATTATGTTCAGTACAACTGTAGCCACTGTGTGACCAACAATGTGTAACCAACTACCAAGTGAAGGAAAGAGTGTTGAATATGAGCTAATCATTGTTCTCTAAACAGGGAATAGAGGATTACCTTGGAGACATGGACTTCAAGTTGGCGGGCACAAACAAAGGCATCACTGCTTTACAGGTACTGTGTCTGATGATTCGGAGAGAGTGGCTTAACCAAGGCTTCTGGCTTACTCTGTAACTGAGAAGAAAACTAAACCCTAACTAGTTTTTCATATAAATATTTCACCTAGCCCATTTTAGGTGATGTGTAATTATACTTTGGGGCATTGAGAAACAAATAAGGCACGTCAGCATGTTTTATAGCTCTAATTGAAGATTTGCTTGTAAATACTTATACTTTATTATTTATAACAAGATACTTCAACTCTTGGGGCATCCAAATTAAGGTCCCATGGGTGGAAAGTGTCATATCCTGTAGTAATCATAAAGCCCCCTAAAGTCAATTGTGTGATATGGGGATATTATAAGATTGTCTTCAGTTGTGTTACTCCAAATACTTATTATAGAGAGGCGAAGTCCCGCCCATCTACTTCCGACCCATGGGACCTTATTTCGGAAAGATTATGTATTGAAGTCAATGCGCAGAAAAAGATTATCTTTTGATCCCGTTTGAATTGTGCCACGAATTACACATGATGTTAGTCAATCTTCAACAATAATTTCCATGTAAAAAAAGTCACAGTTTGTCGTAAAACTGTTGAAATATAAGACTGAAAAATACGCAACTAGAAAGACTACGAATCCCGGTCCCGCATGCTGGCTCTTACGGAACCGACTAACTCCCCTTGTGTGTATGTACAGCTCTCAACATGCCCAGACTTGTAGTGATTTTCACCTCTTTTAATACTTTTCACCTCATTCTGAAAGAAAGAAGTGAAATGTGCCAACGTGACGGCCGTCTTGGTGTGTGGTGCGAGACGGGAGATGTAGTTCATTGAGCGGTTTCACACAAAACAAAGTGTTACTTCACAGTTTTACGACACATTTTTATTTTTTTGACTTGCAAAATTATCTTTTAAATTGACAAACATCATATGTGCAATTCGTGACACAATTCAAACGGGATAGAAAGATAATCTTTCTCTCGCCATTGACTTCAATACATACTTTTTCCGAAATAAGGTCCCATGGGGGTCCCCCGGAAAGGGAGGGACTTCGCCTCTCTATACCCTTAGGCCTATATTTTACACTCCTTAACACACTTTTATTTAACCTCCAGGCGGACGTGAAGATCCCAGGTTTGCCTCTGAAGTTGGTCATGGAGGCCATCCAACAGGCCACAGGTAAGCTGAACATTTAACACAACAAATAAAGTGTGGACATATTTTGGGTTGCTTGATGGCCTTTGATTTATTCTTATTTCCAGTGGCAAAGAGGGAAATCCTGGGTATCATGAACAAAAGCATAGCAAAGCCAAGAGAGTCAAGGAAAGAGAACGGACCTGTTGTTGGTAAGTCTTGTGTTCAAAGATTTATACAACATTTTAGTTACCATTAACAACGAGGAATGTTTATGCAACCAAATTGTAATCTGTTCTGGCAGCTGATGTGTTTGGTGTGTGTTTAATCTGTCTTCAGAAAAAGTCCGGGTGCCTGTTTCCAAACGAGCACACTTTGTTGGTCCAGGGGGCTACAACCTCCGCAGGCTACAAGCTCAAACAGGTAACAAACAATTGAAAATGTATATTAAGCTGAATCAGAGCACCAAACAGAACATCTTTGGGAATGAAATACGGCACTAACCAAACATTAGTTTTCCCTTTTTGTTTTGCTTGCAACCCATTATAAATGCTAATCAAAATGTTTAACCGGAAAACATTTGTTTGTTTTTCTCTTTTGAAGGTGTGACAATAAGTCAGGTGGATGAGGAGACTTTCTCTGTGTTCGCTCCAACACCAGGAGCCATGAATGAAGCCCAAGACTTAATCGGTGACATCTGCAAAGATGATGTGAGTCTGTCCACATCTCTTAGGGACCTTTTTCAAATGCTGCAAACTCAAGAAATAATTATGTTTTATAGGCATACCAAAAAGTACTTACAGCACCATATCACAGGGCTGAACATGAGTGACACCATGAGGCTGATGCATGTGTATGTAAACACATTTTGAATATACTTGTTTTCCGTATTGTGTTGCAGCAAGAACAGCAGCTGGAGTTTGGTGCTATCTACACGGCCACCATCATTGAGATAAGGTAAATGAATAAATGGTGATGTTTAACATAAAGGATGACTTCAGTTCAAACAGGCATCTATGAGAAATGTATTCAAGGTCTCAATAGAAATCATTCAAAATGCTCATGTTTTCTTCTTTGTTTCAGGGACATTGGAGTGATGGTGAAACTTTATCCCAACATGAGTGCTGTCCTGCTGCACAACTCACAACTGGACCAAAAACGGGTCAGTGAATGACCCTCTGCATACTGTTTACCTGTGTCTATGGTTCTGTGATTGTTTGAGAATGAAGTTACAACTTACAGAACACATCTTTGTATCTTCCACTTTCAGATCAGACATCCAAGTGCTTTGGGTTTAGAGGTGGGGCAGCAGATACAGGTATGTGTCAATAACTGCAGGCTGTGTTGTTGAAATGAGCCTCTTGTGTTGACATTCTGGGACCATTGTCTCTGACTGGATTTATGTTAACAGGTGAAATACTTTGGACGGGACCCAACAGACGGCAGGATGAGACTTTCACGGAAGGTGCTCCAGTCTCCGGCTGCAACTTTGGTCAAAACACTAAGTGAGAAACAGAGCATCTCCATGAATCCGAACAACGACCAAACCACCGGCACCGATGTGTGAATCTCCAACTCTACGGGATAACTTCTGACTTTGCCACCAAAGTGGATTCAAATGGAATAGATGAAACTATTAAACAGTTTTGTGGTGAAATCTACCAGACCAAGAGCGACAGATCGATTCACAAACTGAACCAAGTGCTGTATATAAAGAGGTTAACCCTGCTGTGGTGGGTAAGGGGTGATAAACTGCACTGGAGTGAACTGGACCTCAACAAATACACCGTCCTGCTCTCATCGTGCTTCAGTCCATAAGCACAAACGGACATTTGGATATTAATGAGACACATTTTCAAGAGATATACATGTTTTACATTTTAATTTTCAACTTCTATAGTGTATGGTTTTCAGATTTGCACCCCCAGAACTGACGGCATCGAGCAGGTAGAGGGGTTTCTTATGTTTTTATTTTCTGTTTTACCTGCTTTCCCCCAACAGACACACTGCTATGTAAGGATTTCTTATTCACGTGTGAAAGTAGTGCCTCTTGTGGTATGAGACTTCTATATGTGGTGTCAAAAGGGTCTCCTAGGCTGATATCGACAAATAAAGCAAAGAAAGTGGGAGAAGGGGACAAAAAAAAACATATTCTCTTAATGTTGTGTTGCATTTCTAGTAAACATGAGCAGTTTTTAAATGACAATTTCTGGTTGCTTTGTAGTGGCAAGTTCACAACCTTTTCTAGCAAAGAAATACTGCAAAGAAATAAAGAACTAGACTTTACTCTATCCCAGCATTCAGATGCCAACAAAGAAACACACAAAGTGCTACATATTGTTCCCAAAGAGGAAAAAGGTCAGGGCGACCAATCTACATAAACCAGGTTTTAGATTGTAAAACACTGGTTACAAGATATGATGATTTCTTTTTTTTCCATTTAGGCTGCTCAAAAATATTTACTAATAAACTGAGATGGTATGGAAATAACTTCTGTGTCTGTTTGGCTTACCAGTGCAGGAAACCTAAATAAATTCATAAAAAATGATGTGAAATAGAGTCAATTGTATGTATATACATGTGTGACGTATTTGTTTTGTTCATATCTCAATTTTACTTGTTCTAATTTTTATTTATAATGCTTGGGTTGAGTTGTTTCTGCTTTTTTCTTTCTTTTGCTATGTTTATTAAGTTGAATGAATTAAGTTATTCATGTCATAAGTGCAACATTTAAAGAGCATAGGCAATACAAATCATGAATCTCAGGATCTCTATTTCTCTGTCTACAGAGATGTTAACAGGTTTAGGATTCAAACGGTGTATTGTCGTATAGCTACAGTGTAGTTATGGCAATGAACATATTAAGACCCAAGCTCCTTCAACAATGCAACATAAATATATAAAATACATAAAACAATAAAAATAGTGCAAAAACAAACAAAATAGAAATAAAACATTGCAAGAGAAGTAGACTGTATAGGCTATACCTGCACAATAGAATAGGATGAGCTAAAAACAGAATATAAAATGAAATACTGTACAGGAACATAGCCGTGGGAACATGTTTCAAATGGGGGGTGCTGTGGGGATGACACCAGGGCTGGTTTTGACCAATTTGCTGCCCTATAGGCAAGATTTTAGCTGGCAATGAAAAACCTCTACAAAAGACACTACAAACAGAGAAACATATTGACATTGTGGACAGCTTATATAAAAAGGCTTCAAATGTATACTATTTAGTATTGCATGAACATTGAACATGTTTTAATTGGGGGGTGGACTTCACANATAAAGAGTGAAAGCAGATGCGCGCCCGGGTCCTTTACCTCACTGAGCCTCTCAGTCTGACAGGACAGAACTCTCCCTCCACATTATTGTAGAAAGAGCTTCTTATATCCGTTAGCGCAGCAGAAGCTAACAACATTCCCCGCCGGTACAGGTGCACCCCCTCTCTCTATCTCTCTCACTTTGGCTGTGAGCTGCGGGCGCCTGATAAGCCAACATCCCCCACTTTCATCACTTAAAGCGCCCATCGTACGGGGCAAATGGAAAATGTAACCGGGGTGAAAAGGGTGTTATCTTTACTTGATTATGAATGTTGTTACGTCAAGGCTGAAAATTCATTTTTTTAAAAATTATATTTGTATTTAATCTTGTGGAAGTGCAGATCCCCTGTCCTCCACCAGGGGGTGCTGCAGCACCCTCAGCACCCCTACTTCCCACGGCCCTGTACAGGAATAAAATACCGTTTATTGAAATAATAAATAAATATGTGAAATGGGAAAGATAAATGCTTTAAGTTTTAGTATGAAAATATATTAACAGTACCACTTTGCTTTAGCCTGGTTCTGGTTCTGATAAGCTGGTGATTGCTGCGGCCGTTACTCCTCTGGCCCGCTAGGTGTCGCTCTAAACTGGCGGCGCCGCGGCCTGCTATTGGCTGACTCCGCTTGGAGGAGGAGACCGCGCGGCAGTTACCGCTTGATTGACGTCGAAGAAGAAAAAGAACACAAGATCGGATTACAAGATGGCGGTCTGTGGACGTTAGCAAGAAGGCCGTTAGAGTTGTTGTGTTCTCTGATAATTTTACTGTTTAACAATAGGCCTCCCGTTAAGTTGTTTCACACCGTGAACGGAATATGTTTATAAAATAGCGACTGATACATTTCTCTCCTGTTGTGAAATTCACTTAGACGTGCATGTTGTGTAACATGCGGGTGGAAACAAAGTTAACAGGTCGAGGGTAGAGAACACCAGACGGGGTGAGGTGATAGCTTGTTAGCATTCTGCTAGCCTGCTAGCTCCGACTCGGTTCACCATGTCGGACACTCGGCGGCGAGTGAAAGTATATACGCTAAATGAAGACCGTCAGTGGGACGATCGGGGCACCGGACACGTTTCTTCTACGTTTGTTGAACGGCTAAAGGGAATATCATTATTAGTTCGGGCCGAATCAGACGGTGAGTTCTCAGTTAGCTTAGCATCATTGACGTTATGTGGGCTAACATTAGCATGCTAACTTCTTGTTTTCCGGACATAATTGTTCACTGTGTGCTTGATTAACTTATTTGGAATGCTGCTTTCAATTTCTTTCAGCGTTTGTAACGTTTCTAACTGTTGGAACAATTGGTATAAGAACTTACCCCAAAGAAAAGGCAACCATTTATTGAATCGCTTTTGCTAGCAAGCTCCTTGGTTTAGCTGGCGAAATGATCTGTAGCATGGGGGGCCTTCAAAGTCTAGTCTTAAATGTACTAACTTGATACAAATGCTTTGGATTGAAAAGCATTATGAGTACATCCACAGACCAACGCATAAAATGAATAACACTTAAATAGGATAACTGTTGTTAAAGCCTTTCTGATGTTTGTTTCAACTTTGGAAAAAGTGTTTTATTCATCCTTGTACATTGTCTACCTAGCGTCGCAAGCTCTCCAACTTCAAGACAGATTAATTGTTTTTAACCTTCGAGAATTAGTCATGGTATCCTGTGGTAATCTTTGTTGTGGTCATTCGCACCAGCTTGAAAATGAAGTTACCCAAGTCTTTGTGTTTTAGGATCTCTACTATTGGAGTCGAAGATAAGCCCGAATACTGCATATCAGAAACAACAGGTAAGAAAAGATGATCTTGATCAGCTACAGAAGGTAGCAAACAGTGGGTCATTTAAGACTTGGAGTGTGAAAATGTAATCATTTCAACATTGAGACTTGTTGCTAAACAAATACTGCTACAATGATGCAACACAGACAATCTGTCAGACAATTCAGTATCTTGGGGTCTACACTAGGTATCAAGCAATAGACTGGTAACATCATCAGTATTTGAACACTTTTTATTGATATTATCATTCAGTGTGTGGAGAGGAATCTGTAACAGAAAACTGTTACTTGATTTGAGTACTTGAATAGATCTGATTGTAGACAAAGCAATCTCATTTATCTTTTTTTCTAAAGGATATGAAAAGCCTTTAAAGTACTTGTTTGTAACGTGTGAAGGCTCACTCTCTGGAAGGGTGTTTTGATCATGTGAGTTCATGCAACCATGTTTCAGTGTTTCCTGTGAATATGATGAGCAGTTCATAGTACACAGTTCGATGTTTCTCTCTCCTACTTCAGGACACACTGATTGTCTGGTCGGAAGCTGACAATTATGACCTTGCCCTAAGTTTCCAGGAAAAGGCAGGCTGTGATGAGATATGGGAGAAGATCTGCCAGGTAATTACCATCCAGTTTAAGTTACAGTATGCATTTAAAAAGAAAAAAAAGTTGTACTCAAACGGGAGGGGTGAAACTGTCAATTTTCTAGAACTGATATTTAAGTGACACTGCTCCGAACGCTACATTGAAACTTCTAGTTTGACACCTAACTTCATATCTACCAACTTGTTATCTTCCAGGTTCAAGGCAAGGACCCTGCCCTGGACATTACCCAGGACCCCATTGATGAGTCTGAGGAGGAACGCTTTGAGGAGATTCCAGAGACGAGCCACCTGGTTGAGCTCCCTCCTTGCGAGTTAAGCCGACTGGAGGAGATCGCTGACCTGGTTACATCTGTCCTCTCTTCACCCATCAGGAGGGAAAAACTGGCCCTGGCCCTGATGAGCGAAGGCTACATCAAGAAACTCCTGGGTCTCTTCAGAGTATGCGAGGACCTGGACAACAGGGAAGGCCTACATCATCTCTATGAGATTGTTCGGGGTGTCTTGTTCCTTAATAAAGCGGCCCTATTCGAGGTGATGTTCTCTGATGACTGTATCATGGATGTGGTTGGATGCCTTGAGTATGACCCGGCGCTGGTTCAGCCTAAACGGCACCGGGAATTCTTGACCAAGACGGCAAAGTTTAAAGAAGTGATCCCGATCACGGACTCTGAGCTGCGGCAGAAGATCCACCAGACCTACCGGGTGCAGTACATCCAGGACATCATCCTGCCCACGCCTTCTGTTTTTGAGGAGAACTTCCTGTCCACACTCACCTCCTTTATCTTCTTCAACAAGGTGGAGATTGTCAGTATGTTGCAGGTAATAATCAAAACCAGGTAACTTTTTATTATTCTAAAAGTACAATATATTAACCATGCGTTGTCGGACGTTTTTTTTTTTTACTTCTGAATGTCGTTGGCATTTTAAAAGGTTGCATTGAACATTGCCGCATGCAGAGTGTTTTCTTATATGTAAATGTTTTAATATCAGTTGCCACTGAAATTTGTTTAACATGTGCAAGAGAACCTGCCCTCTCTGCGGTTCTGAAGAATAACATGGCTCATACTTTTGGCTAAATTGCTTACTACATTTTCATATACATGCTCAAACAGTATCAAATGTAATATGACGATTGAAACATTAAAAATGTAAAATAATTTAAACACAATTTGTCAGGTCAATCAGTGAATGAGTTGGGAGTCCATTGTCTTGATTGTAAGTGGATTTTTAATATGGAGCTTATGTGAAGCATGTGTTTATTTCAAAAAGATACCTGTACATCCAAATGACTGTCCGTCCATTTCTACATTCAGGTGTTGGATATCTACATGATTGTATATTAGAATAATAGGTTCTCTGTGTCGTCGGAACAGCACACCAGTTTATGTTGTGACTCACACTAAATGACGAACACATTTTCCCGTATTTTGTCCATCTTTGTATTTGATTTCTGAACCCCGTTTTTCATGTGCCACAGGAGGACGAGAAGTTCCTTACAGAGGTGTTTGCACAGCTCACAGATGAAGCCACAGAGGACAGTAAAAGGAGAGAGCTTGTAAGTGATGTTGCTATTCTTTGCTAAATGTACTCTGTTTTACTGTTCTAAATATATAGATTGCTGTCTTTCATGCCATTTCATTCAAAAGGGTTAAATATTTACCGACATTTCTGCAGTTTTCCATAATGATATTGATGTGAGTTACCTCTTTGTCTATCAAAAATACAACAACATTGGCAATATCATTCCTACAGTTAAGCCTCTCAATGACAGTAACATAGGAAATCATTCATTCTAATAGCTCAGCAGTTGTCATTTATTTATCCTTTTAAAGTGTCTCACCCTGGAATAGGGAGGATGACTGTTTTACACCAGAATGTCTTCCACTGTTGAACACTATCACAAATGCAACAATACTTGAAGACAGTATTTTTGTCAATGCCCTTCAAGAGTTTCCTTGAATCTGTCGAATCTTGGTGTAACATTAAATCTGTGTTTTCTCTTCTCCTCAGGTGAACTTTGTCAAGGAATTCTGCGCTTTTTCACAGACGTTGCAGCCACAAAACAGAGATGCTTTCTTTAAAACTCTGGCAAATCTAGGAATTTTACCTGCTCTTGAAATAGTCATGGTATGTTGGCATGTGTACTTGGATGAATATTTTTGTTGTCTTGCTGAGATTTTATACTGCAAGCACTACTGTCCAACACACATTTCCCAAAGGAACAACAAAGCCTATCAATCTTATCATTATACTCTGGGCGTTGCATGAATTGGCTGCTCATGAAACAGTCCCTTGTTTTGTTTTTTCTTGTCTGTGAATGGTCCAACCGTGAAAAATTATAGTGTGTTGATATCTCTCTTTGTTCGGCTCTTAACTCGTTTATTCCTCCTGTTCAGGGAATGGACGACCTGCAGGTGAGGGCAGCAGCTACAGACATCTTCTCTTACCTGGTGGAATTCAGCCCCTCCATGGTCAGAGAGTTTGTCATGCAGGAGCCTCAGCAGACGGACGACGTAAGCATTGAAACATCTTGCCCTTTTTAGATGCCGGGGAATTGTTTTTCGTTCAGCCCGTGATCATTTCTCCTTTAAAAATAAATATATCTATCACATCATTGTTGTGACAAAAGAACGGTGAACATCTGCATTGTGTTTGATCCTCCAGTTGGTTGTTACTGTTTGATGTATACTGAGGGATGCATCTTACAATTTGTGTGCTGCAGCAATTTAACATACAATTCATGTGCCATATAACTGGAAATGGCAAGAAGCTTTACAAATTAATAGAGCAGTCCTCCTCCTGAGCACTTAGTAATCAAGGAGACCTTTAAATATCAAATGTCATCCTGGGTGTTTGTGATCACCTTATACCTCCAATGTAAATACAGTAAAGGTCACCTATTATGCAAAATCCACTTTTCCTGTCTTGTATACATAACCATGTGTGTAAAGAGATTCTCAAGGTTTCAGGAAAAAATATTCCTGATCCATTTATATAAAAACCTGTCTGAAAATGAGCTGATCAGATTTGGCCACTTTATGATGTCATAACGATGTTTTGGCTTGTGTAACCATTAGCCAATCACGGTAACCCCCCCCCCACCTTATCACCTGAATATCCTCCTAGAGCACCATGAGTTCTTTTTAACCAAATATCTCTGAGAGGGGCGTGGGGAGGGGCTCCTTATTTTCATCTGAAGTAACAGACAGAGAATCAGCGCTTTTATAACAGAGGGGATTATGGGATTCTGCAATGATCTGTTAGGTGTTTCAGCCAATCAGAGACATGTTTTGTATATATCTGAGACCTATAATATATTGATGAAAAACAGTTTAATAGGAGACCTTTTTAAAGTTGTTCACCTTGAATAGTTTAGGGAATCCACAAAGTTTCTTAAAAAGTAGATCTCTTAAAATCTGAATTTGTCTTAACTTTATATTTTTCTGTGTGTTTCCTTGGTGTACAGGATGTCCTGCTGATAAATGTGGTGATCAAGCAGATGATTTGTGACTCTGACCCAGAGTTGGGGGGGGCTGTCCAGCTCATGGGTCTGCTCAGGACGCTCATCGACCCCGAGAACATGCTCGCTTCCACCAATGTAAGCAGGACCAGCACGCAGGAATGTCAATGGAACGGCTATAAAATGTTTTGTGCATTGCAGGGATCTTATCTATATCATATGTAGCCAGCTGGTGAATTACATAGCCTTCCTTCAACAGTAAAACATTCACAGCACTTTATTAAAGCTTCTTCATTTTCCTTTTAGAAAACGGAGAAGACAGAGTTTCTGAGTTTCTTCTACAAGTACTGCATGCACGTCCTCACCGCTCCTCTGCTGGCCAACACGGCACATGACAAAATCTCAAAAGGTGAGCTGGGGACAGAGGCCTGCATAAACTGAAATGTTTCAGACTGTAAGATAAACAGAGAATGTGATTGGTTGTTCTTTGTCGTTGCCTTTTCAGATCTGCAGGAGGGATCAACTAAGATCAACCCGGTCTGTCCAGGTGAGGAATTTAACTCGACAGAGAACCACCCAACAGACAAAGCATGTCGGAGTTAACTGGGACCTATACCATTGCATTTCTTTGACCTGTACCCACTAGATTACAATTAATAATTGACCTCTTCATAATGACATAAAACTAAAAAGCTGTTATTTATTACGTCATGTCAGAGATGGAGTACTAGTCCTGGACTCGAGTGTCGATTTTCGGGACTCATGACTCGAATCGGATTCGCGCACTGATTGACGCGACTGGGACTTGGACTCGTGAATTCTCGCGCATGATGACTTGGACTCGTGAATTTTTTCCCCCACGATGACTCGGACTCGACTTGTACATTGACGCTCCGACTTGGACTCGAGCAAGTTTTCTCTGGACTCTGATGTCCTCTATCCTGGGATGTGCACCTTTGAGGCGAGTTCACGTACTGGGCCCCGCTATTCCAGTTTCGAGACACACCCCGCATCGTGCTGTATGCTTTCACACATTCTGCTTCCACATTGGAAAAGAGCAGCGCAAAATGCTAGTTATTTGGAAACAATATTGAAGAGAAGGCTCCGTAACACATTACTCTAAGGATCGAGTTCAGACATATAGGCTGTCATCAGAGTAAAGTGATCTAATCAATAAATAAAGATTCAGCTGATAACACGAAAGCACATGGCTACTTAACATGCAGAATGACGTCATTTTGCATGCTAAGTAGCCATGTGCTTTCTGGGGCTTAATCTTTATCAGTAAACCGATTTAACCGGTAAAAGTTCCTTCAAAATAAGATTCCCGATCTTATTACTATCAAAATAAAAGTGCAAAACGAAAACTTTACCATATGAAAATATTGGCATACAAATATAATCACTTCTCTAAAAGGTAACTCATTTTAAATATAGTTAGACATATTAAAGGTCATTTAAAATAGTAATAATAATANNNCTACGGAAATCTCGTCGTTGAATCTGATGGAATGATTTGTAAAGAAGCGTGCAATGTAACGACTGAACGAGAGAAGAGGAGAAAAGTTGGTAGTAAAGTCGTCACCATATTCTTGGCATTTTCGTAATTCGACATAGAGCCAAAACCCTAACCAACGATAGGGCTTCAGTACAATCGGTCGTTGTTGTTGATGTGAGGGGTTTCCGCGCGGTTTGGCTTTATGAAGCAGGCACGCAAGACGGTTAACGTCATGACGCAAACGATGAACGAATGACGCAGCACCAGTCGGCTGCTCTGAGCGGTGTGAACAGAGCGGCGAAGCTGAAGCCGAAAGAACCGTGTCCTACCAGAAAGCTCTAGCATGGAGCTAGAAGGAAGGAAAAAGCCTTTGTGTGGAAGAGGTGGCATAAGAGAATGCAAATGGAACAATGTGTAATGAAGGAGAGCGCCGGAGACTCGATTCAAAAAATTAATGCTAATTAAATTAGAGGTTTTGTAATTAATTAATTGAAATTAATTGCATTTTTTAATCACATATAAATATTTGACTTGAGAACAGTGAGAAGATGTCAATAAAGTGTGCCGTCACACAGAGGTCATTTGAATTGCTTACCGAGTACCAATGATCCCCGTCAGGGGCCAACACCATTCCGTGCTTTCTCCAATAAAATTCTCTTTATCGTCCTTTTCATTGTCATAAAACTGCTGGATTATTTTGAGTCACTGTCTTTCTGCATGGCAGCTCATATGTTGAGTCAGACGATGCAATCTGTAGTACCTTTTGCAGCCCCTTATCTTCTACCACTCCAAGTGGTCTACAGTCGAGTGCAATCCAGTGAGCTGGTTATTTTTTTCAGACGTGGACTTAGTTTATCTTGCCCTGAGAAACCAGTCATCTGGTTGAGTGTGGGTGGGTGTGGGTCATACTTGTCAACCCTACCCGATTTTCGCGGGAGGAGCTCCGATTTCATTTGCCCTCTCCCGGTTCCTCCCGGGGTCATATTTCTCCCGATTTCTGACAAAGATCAGGATTTACTCAGGACTTGTTTACCACTTCGGAACTTTAATACAGCTACAACCATTGTTTGGTTTCCATGGTAACACGTCTCTTTAGTAGCGCGCACAACTCAAAGTCTTAGCAGGGTGAGGCAGACATTCACAGAAAACAGAACAAGAATCGACAACTACTCTACTCTTCTGCTCACTCCTTTCCTGTAAAAATACAGGTCCAGTCCACACATATGCTCGCATCAAGGACGGTGGCTACAGGCCGCAAGGCAGTGCACTTACAACTACAATAAGCATGTTAATGTATAACCTAACAGCCCGGCGATCCACTAGCAACCCCCCCCCCCCCAATTTTGCATTTTTAAATGCTCCCGATTTCTGAGGGCAACTATGGTGTGGGTCCTTGTACTCGGAGTCGGGCTAACGTCCACGCTAGCTTCCACGCTAGCTGCTATATGTTTTGCATTGAGGTGATACTTGAGGCTTGATGTGCTGCGGTGATATGCAAATTCCTTTTTGCATAATTTGCATACAACCGTGCTCTTATCGACGCTTCCATCCGTCCGTTTTTAAAACAAAATTTCCCATCCACGGGGCCAACCAAAGCGGTCTCATCAGCTTCTTCGTTCATGTTTGACTATTGTTCACTGTGGTTTGTTGTTGTCTGAAGTCATGAACGTTGGTGCTCCAGCTCCAGTATAATCGGTACGCCTGAAACTCATCCAGTGAGAAACGTTCCGCAGGGCAAAAATAAGTGCGATTAAAATGCGTTAATTTTTTCAACGCGTTAATGTTTGTGTAATTAATTAATCTTAATTAACGCGTTAAAGTCCCGGCCCTAGTAATGAGTATTCCCAGGTTCCACTGCTACCCCTGCATTAAAGTAGATATTGTGCTTAATGAAGTTATTATTTCCCTGTAGATATCGCAGAGATGCACGGTCGATGGACGAGGACGAGGAGTTGTTGTTCAACGACGACGACGATGATGATGAAAGCGAGGCTGTGGAGAAGAGCCGGATGGAGGAAGACTTCGCCGACAGCTACGGAAAGTACATGGAAGCCAAAAAAGGTAAGCTGCCCTGGTCTTTTTCTCCGTATCATTTCCTGATTGCCACAGCCCTTTGCAGTTAGATATTTACACTCTGTTTCTTCAGGAGCTGCCAACGGAGCTAATGGTGCCAACAATAACGGGAAAGCTGCTGTAAGCCCCCCCCCCGCCTCACAGGCCGTCACTCCAAACAACAGTCCAGCTTCCTCCGTCAAAACAGTTGCTCTTCCTGCCACACCAGTAGTGAAGGTAATAACGGAAGTATTTATTTTCCTTGTGTCCACATGAGAAGGAATCATCGTGACAGACGCCATCTGCCGAAAACCCTTATATTTTTGTTATGCTTTCTATGTGGGCATTTATGGCAATCTTTCTGATGTGTCCCTGTGTTACAGACTGCTATGGTTGGTTTGGTGGACTACCCAGATGATGAGGATGAAGAGGAAGAAGAGGAGGAGGAGGAAGAAGAGCAGTCTCCAAGAAAGCGGCCCCGCCTGAGCTCTTAAGGCTAACGTTCCTCTGTTTGGTCGTAGCGGACGGACACAGAGTCCCTCCCCTCCTCCTCCTCTGGTCGTCTCATTGGTCCTTGGCCTGCCTGTGCCACCTGTCCGTCTCGCTGAGGAGTCGGGCGAAGACGAGCTCCCACCTCACCCTGCCCTTCCTCATCTCTGCTCCTCTTCTGTCCCTCGCGGAAGGGGATGGACAACTTATTTTCTCGAAAAGAAAAAGACAAATCAGTCTGTTTCTTCAGCCTGTTGATTTTACCTCTTCCTTTTACTCCTGTAGAAGATCCCAAAATCTCCTTTCTGAACTCACCCCCCCCCCTCTCACACTTCTTCTGCTCCCCCTGTTCTGACCTCTTCCTGAACAACTTTCTCCTCATCCTCCATCCAAACGTACCGACCAGAGAGCCTGCGGTGGACGTATCGATGCCAAGGCGGCTTCCAACTCTGCTCTGTTGCTATAGCAACAGTAGCAAGGAAGCTGCGGTACTACCCCTCCCCCCCCCACAGGAGCCCTCACGTGTCCTCGATCTGAACTCTCCCCTTCCATCTTCCAACACCAAAAGCAATGAGCTCCAGAGACAGAGAGGAAGCCAGTGTATGAATTTCCAGCAGCCAGTCAGGCTAGCAGGACGAGCCGTCAGATAGAGCTTGACTGGCTGAGCCGTGAGTGCCGCCCTGCCACAGAACTCTTCAATTCGGTCGGGAAAAAAATGGTCTATAAAGAAGGAAAATGATGTGTTGAGAGACGAAGGGGGGGGGGGTCCACAAATGACAAAATGTACCAGGGTGAAAACTCAGTGGTAATGAGGCTTAGATCCACAGGAGCAAGACTCAAACCTACAAAAGCCATGGCGTCAGTTCGGCCAAGGCACACAAACACAACACACACATGGCGTCTCACACACATGACGACGTCTCACACACAGGACTGCGTCTCACACACATGACGACGTCTCACACACAGGACTGCGTCTCACACACAGACGACGTCTCACACACAGGACTGCGTCTCACACACAGGACTGCGTTAGCCAGAAATCCTGTATTTCATGACTTTGTTAAAGATTACTGTACAGATGTATTTTTTTCTTTTTAATCATTTTTCCCTGATCTAATTTTCATGGGGAGAGCGATACCTGCCGACCTGTGTATTTTTGTTGTTGTTGCACAAAAGGTGGGGTCACTGTTCACCCTTTTTAAGTCCAGTTCATTTGATTCAATGTAAAATGCAGAGAAGTTGAAAATGCTGGTTTTAGAAAAACGTATTAAAACTGCAGTCAAGTCATTTTGCAGCCAACAATTTGAGGATGTCTGGGGTTTTGTATTTTAGTGAATCTAACAATTTAGTGGCCTCATTAAGATGCACACAAAGCCCAGCCTTTGTTTTAATTTGGTGACAAACCTGAGCTGTCGGTGTGCTTAGAGTAGATTTAGTGCACACTCTTGTATCAGGAGGTTCAAGACTTGGCACCCTTCTCTCTGACAGATCTCAGGTTCAGATTTAATTTGCATCAGACACACACAAAAAGCTCCCCTGCTCTGTGCACTCACTGTGACTCTGCTGGCTGGTGAAACATCTTGCAATTATAACTGAATGAAGAATTCTCATGAGCTACAAGGGGCTTTCATTTCAAGTTTGACCCTAAAACAACTCTGCACATCAAAAACAAGACGAAGGACATTTCTTTAATTCAAACTATGATCAGATGTGTTTTTTTTTTAATTAGTTATGATGAAAATGATTTAACCCAATGGTTGATGTGCAGTTTTAGAGTCGAACGGTGTTGTTCAAGTGGAGTATTTCGGACATTTTATTGTCGGGTTGAAAACATTTCCCCCTGGTCTCACCACAAGCACACTGAGAAGCAGATGAAGGTAATCGATGTTAGCTAAAACCACCAGATCACAGACTTAGAACTTCTGAGCAGGTAGGAGCACAAAGTGAAATTATTATTATTATTATTATTATTATTGCCAATGTGCTTTCAGGAGTTCAGCAGAACCCGAGCAGTCTGTAAGCGTCTCCCAACAATATGACTGTTTTTCTGCCCCTTGATGAATTTGTACCAAGTGCATTTACTACCACTATCCATTCTTAACATTTGTATGACTTTATTTGATAAGTTTTGAAATTAAATGTGACCCTGACATTGACCTTTTTGAATCTGGCTTTGTTTTGAATAATTCACTGATCTGGCAACTAGTCATTTGTAATTGATTCTGAATCATTTCTTTTGGGTCCAGATGGTTTGAATTGATAACTTGATTCAGAAATGTTAGGTTATTGAAATGATTTCGTGGATTTTATGAAAATCTTACAGCAACATGTTTTGTACGAGGAAAATTGTTCAAGCACAATATTTAGTACTCGTGAAGATTTACATGGCTCAGAGTAAAAGAGTACATTAAAAGATTAATGTGAGAAAAGCTACCGACCAACTGAAAGTCGTTTTTATACACAAAGTCTGGATTCAAGCTTGTTTCTATAAAATGTGATTTATTAAACGGTGTACATGAAATACTGAATTCCTCATAGGAAGCGACACACTCTTGGTCCCTGTGTTCATCTTGACAAACTTCCAGTGTTTTCAGCTCTGACGTAGCTGCTAACGACAAGACTGCACATTGGCTGGGTAATGTCTTATTTCCCCTTAACATCAATTCTGAGATACAACTCCAGGCCCGCTGTGCCTCATGTTGAGTTTCAACTTTTCTCAAGAACTTCTTGACTAGAGAAACAACTGAGGAATGTGTCCAAAACCACCCACTATTTCAGTCAACGGTACTAGATAAATTAGTCATGAATCTTGATTTTGCATTACCTACCAGTGTAGCGTTAAAAGCACTGCATTGTAGGGCTGCTCGATTATGGCAAAAATCATAATCTCGATTATTTGGGTCAATCATTGATATCACGATTATTAAAAACGAGTATCCATTTACCTAAGGGTTAACCCTAACCCATTTATTGAAAAAAAAAAAGTGAACAGTATTTTTTCAACAGTTGATTGCCCTGAACTTTAAATATAATTCAACCGACATTTCTTTTTTTTTTTTTAAATCGTTTTATTTCGATTATGTTTTCATAATCGTTGCAAACCAAAATCGTAATTGCGATTAAAATACGATTAATTGAGCAGCCCTACTGCATTGCTATATTTTGAGCTGTGGGTTATGTGAGTGCATGGAAAAAATCCATAATTCTTGCATTTAGGAACATTTTACAATTAAAATAGTTCACCAAGTGGCAAAAGTAGCAGCGCTTTGGACACAGGCCGTGTGTGTGTGTGTGTATATATATATATACACACTTGGGTTTGCTCTTATTAGTGATTGACACATACAAAATATAAAAACATGTACCTTCCTCCTCTGGAGACAGCAATGGAACAATTTTGAAAAGGAAGATCTGATTATTTTGGTATCTTTGGGTAAAAACCTGATCTGTGTTATGCAAGGTGAATAATGCGGCTGAAGGAGGCAGAGTAGAGGAAGCTTGTTTAGAAAGGATTGGACCAGATAGGCTATACACGAGAATATTGCAGTTGTAGGGGAAGTTATTTCTTGATGACTTCCTCTTTCAGTTTGTCAGCCAGATGTTTTCTCTTCTGGAGTTTCTTCTTCTCCTCAGCAGATACCTCCTGTGTAAAGACAGCGGAGCACTTGTTAGAGTTAAAAAAACAGAAAAGATTAAAGATGGCTTATGAGAAAATATTGAGGGAGTGAAAAATCAGCAGGAAAAACCACCAAGCACACAACTAGAAAACTAAGCACAAGCAGCTCAGGGTTACCACATCTACTTTACCGTCAAATTCAAGGGACTTTCAAGAACTTTCCAGGCACAATTCACTCAAAATTCAAGGACCGAACATGGAACAGTTTGACACACGGTTCAAGCTTTCTAATTGTAGCACTCTCAGGGGCAGTTAGTGCGTGAAACAATGAAGCAAAAGCGGGAGACATAAATGCACACAGTGGAACTTAGCCTGTTTACTAGCAATTTGAGAACATTTCCGTTTTAGCACACGTTTTCAAGGCCTTGATTTCAACCTTGGAACCCCAAACTTTCACAAACGATCCATGGCAAACATGTCAGCTGGTATTGTAAATATCACTTTACTACGGGTTTTAAAAGTAGTATCAAATAACAAAATAGGTATGAAGCTGTCAACATCTGAAGAGGATATGTTTGTAAATGAAAATGCTAGCTTTCGAACGTTAAGCATACAAATAGATTTTCATTGGGTTCGATTCTCAATCCACGATATTAATGAGACCTTATTCTCATTACTTTGAGGAGTAAAAGAGCTCAGACTGTTCCTTTGCTGAGCTTGAGTGATGGAGGAGTTTCAGTACGTTTGTGTGAGACAGTACAACAGACAGAAGGGAGAGCCTAACACCACTACGCATGTACGAGGACACGTGTTCACATCGGGCAGCTGACGGATCACCTTCTGTTTGGAGGAGTGAGCAGAGTGCTGTGCTGGAGCAAGAGGAGCAGGAGGAGGAGGAGGAGGTAGGGGGGTACAGACCCCGTTACTCTGGGACTGCCCCACTGCCTCCTGACAAGCAGCCAGGTCAGACACAGGCAGAGAGAAATGTAAGAACAACAACCCAAATAAACAAATCACACAGAGGGTTAACGGAAAAAACAGGAGGGAAAATGTGGGTTAAAGAAAATCAGGTGAAATCCAGAATGTCGTTTATATAATAATAATAATTTAGATTTGTATAGTGCCTTTCAAGAAACCCAAGGACGCTTTACAATGGGAGATAACAAAGATTGGGAAATCAAAGAAAAAAATGTGACCAAAATGAAAAGTATGGATATGGATCATTTCCTTACTTGATTTCTGAAGAACATTACCATAATATTAGGAAATAGTGAATTGGTCTCACTTCATCTGCTGCATTTTAAGGTTCAAGGAGGGACAGTAAGAGGCTGTAGTTACCGGGGGAACGACAGCAGGAGCCTCCTCTGGTACGATGGTCTGTTTGGGTTTCTGCTGTTCTTTTTTCAGAGCGTGCAGCTTGTCTCTCTGCTGTCGCAGATATGCTGCCCTCTGCTGGAGCTCCTCCTGCTGAGACGCTGACAACTCCTGAGGGGGGGGGGGGGGGGGGAGGGAAACCAGAAGAGGGCTTCAAATAAAGGTGTTTTGGGCCTTCATTGGGAAGACATCCAGTAGAAACAGGACAAATGTAATGTTGTGCCACCATCATACATAGTGTGTTCTACAAACGAGAGTTGTAATGAATGTGTTTGCTATGCACCAAAGTGAGATTCCATTTTGTGACTTTGTCTAAAAGAAAGGCTTCGTAACACAGAATTGAATTGTGTCAGTAATTTATAACTTCATTTCACAGTCCCTCTGTGGGACTAATAAAGGTATTCTGTTTCTGTAACGTGTGCAAATCTGTGTTATTATCATGTTGTATACAACCCACAGAGCTGTGCTAAAGGAAACAAGGGGAAGAAGGACAGACTCACGGTGTATGGCTTGGAGAAGCCGGCCTCCCTGTGAGCCTCCTCCAGCCAGCCCTCGGGGGGGGTCAGGCTGCTGCTCTGCTCCCTGGACCCTGCACTGAGGGGGGGCTCACCAGACTTCACTGGAGGTCTCACTGCAGGAAGGACTCTGGACTCCACACCGTTACTGCCGCAATCTGCACACACATATTCAATCAGTTAGGGAATGTGCAGCTTCTGAGACACAAACATGTGGTTTATTGACCAGATAAACAACAGAACACCATTCTTCTGTACACACAGTACTCCTTCAGGGGGGGAATTGGCCTTTTAAAACTATACTTTTGATATCTTTCCTTCTGAGTTACCTGGGGAGGGTTTAGAAGTGGAGCTGCTCTTGGCTGCACTTTTCTTCTCTCCACCTCCTCGAGCTGACGTCTGTCTCTCATCTGTTGTGACAGGTCTGCTGTTGAGCTGGAGGGAAGGATCAGAGACAGTAATACATGTTGGACCGATGACCCAGACATTGCATCAGATTCAGCCCAGTATTGCAACTACAGATGAACCATTTCACAGATACCACAGGAGTGAAGCTGGGCTTATCTACAAAGATGAATCTATAGAACCACGTCCCATTCACCCTGCAGTCAGCAAATGTTTTTAATCTATTGATACTACACAAGCAACTTCAGTCTAAAACGACAAAGCTTCTTCATGGTCTACCTACTGACGCAGGCTATGAAAGCTACTATCTGCCCTCAGGATGCATTAATACTTAGGCTTGGAATTTCCTGCTCATACTTTTGTACCGTACAGTTAATTTGAATTTCAGGATCAATCACTGATGCTTTACTGTTAACAAGAGCATGCAGAACCTTATTTACACATGTTGAGTTTTATATGAACCTCCCCTTTTTATACAGTTAGCTGATGCAGATACAGGTATAAATGCATCCTCAGATAGAGCAGTAAACTACTGTTGATTATTAGGTCACTAACTGAAATGCTACTATACTTCTACTTGGGGTTCAGTTACCAGAGTAGCCTCAGGGACTGTGTTTCCGTTCACTAGTGGGGGGGCATGGTGACCGTTACTCTGGCTGCTGTCACCTCTCCCCTCCGCTTTGGCCTTAGCATGGAATAATGACACATTGGAGACATTATTATAAAGAAACGAGTGGACTGTAACGGGAAAGGGATGTTGGAAATAACTATTTATCATTGGTAGCATCAGTTTTTGAACGGTAAAAGTCTGAATTGATAGGAAAACAAAGTTAAGAAGTGGTTTGCACATCTTTTGGCTCGTTCAGCTCATGGTGTCTCACCTTGGCAGCGACGCTCGGCTGGCTGGCAGCAGAGGAGGTATTTTGGGCTTCGCTGCTTTCTGCCAATCGCTTATCAGAGCTGCTGCCAACCTTGTGCTCTAAAAGCAGCCTCCTGGACAGTTCCTTATCATACTCATCTTTTGACTGCCTGAGGACAAAGTAGCAGGAGATAAATACACATTTTAGAATTGATGCAGGGCACATGGTCTGAATTTTTGCTATGCATAAATTGGCTTGTGCAGAAATAATTATTCCCTACACCAATTATGTTTTCGGTTAAGTTTGTTTGTCAGCAGGATAACTGAAGAACTACAGGTCCAAGGGCCAAGGATACATCGATTACATTTTTGGAGCAGATCCAAATCTGATGGCTCATGCACATATGATGTTTCACTCCCCTTAAGATGGAGAGGTGGAGCATTTGCCCTAGCCTACTTAAACCAAGTGTGATTAGTAGCCCAGGTGTGATAAGAGATTAGTTTATATAAAGTTAAAGATCTATTATACATGTAATCCTTGGCTAATAGCACAAATGAACTAGAAAAATACACTTTGCCCTGGCATTACTAGGGCACCACACTGATCCTTTAATTTGATTAATTTAACAACTTCATTTGGCTTAGAGGAGACTTTCTCAAAGCATTATCCAGTTTGTTTGCATATAGAAAGAGATGTAAAAGAAGGAAAGGATGGTCTATTAGTCGATATTCACAA